AACTTGAAGTGCCAAGTCCAAATCCAAAACACTTAAGTTGAACTGGACTTGTTCACACCAGTTAGAGAAATTGAGCCCATTGAACAGTGGTACAGATGAAGCATGCGAATGCAGAGAAACAAGAACAGATACTGCAAAATATATAATGCTCTAACATTAATGCTTTGAGTTTTGACTTAAACACTTAGTTTAGATTCGGACAACAATAAATGTATACCGTAGTTCTCCTTTGGGTGATACTACGTTATACCATCATAATAAACATAGTGATGCTAATTAAATTTCACTTAATTGGTAATTAATCATACTCCAATTAACCATGTCTGTCATCTTTGGATATACAAAACACATCCAATTAAGTATATCAATTAACCACGATCATGTTCAAGATTAATAAAATTGACCGATCAACCTTTGGGCGATCCATAATAATTTTATAATCTATAAACGTCAATACACTCTTGACATCAATAATTTTAATGTCATTTCCTGTTATAAGCATCACATTATCAAGAATGTTTGATAAATAAATTATGTAATTTAATGTTTACATCCCATAATGTTTGGCCACTTTGGTGACTAACAAACAACATTAATTGAACATAAATTACATAAACAAAATATTTATCACATAATATTAATTTCAGATTTACGTACATTTGACCAGCCACAAAACACATGATAAATTAATTGAAGCAGTCATCTAATCACATAGTACAATTAATCGTTCATGTGAGGCAGTTAGTAATTAATATATATATGGCCCAGATACTTTAAAAATTCGACACCTAGACTACACTAATTACAGAATTACTACAGTAAATTAGGCACTCATTTATACTGTCATTTCAACAGTGAGCGTACCACCTTCTGTAGTTACTGTATAAAATTAATATGCACACAGTTCTGCCATTGTCTTGGAATTAGAGCCCTTTTGAAATAAACATTTGATACAAAGGCCAATTTGACATAAATATAGGCGTGCACTCTTTCCTTTCAATGTGTCAGGTTTCCAATTTCTATTCATATAATAATCATGTTATAAATGGTGATGGTCCCCATAAATTCATAGGCAGAAAGGTAGCCCAGAAACTTCCAAAATTATATACGTACAGTGGACGGCAGATCCACTTTTCATTGTGAAAACCAAGAAATCAACTTTTCTTCAACCAATAATAATTCATCAGGTTTGACAGAATTAATAATGTTTTCTACGGAAGTCATCCCATCCGTTAATTTACATAATACGTGAAACAATAATAAATGCAATTGATGTGTAATTTTTCTGATGAAACAGGGACTACTCTTTTCACAGATTAATATCGGTGCAGTAAAAAATCAAAGATCAATTTATTATTTTAACAGCAGTCAATCAGAAAACAGAAACATATTTGCAGCGGAATCTGTCATTCTTATTTTACGCATTGATCCATAAATCGATATGAAAAATTAAAGATCTATGAATGTAAAACATTAATCTTTAACGAAAAATCATGAATTCCATAACTTGGGCTCTGATACCACATGTAAGCAATTAATTCATACTTTAATGCCTAGATCTTGGAATTCTATGATTTTCACGTATGAGTAATTTGATCAAGTAACATACCTTGATCCATGAAGAAAATTGAAATTTATTAAATCTGCAAAAGAGAAATCAGTGAGAATAAAGAAAATTGTTCTCTCTCTTTTCCTTACTGTTCTTGAATGTAATTATTGATGGTTTTTCATTCACGTTAAAAAAGCAGAGAGAGGCATTTTTCTTTTAGGCCAAAACTACCCACTTTCCATCAAAGTGAACAGTTACAAAACTGTCACCTCTTAATGACCAATCAGATTTTTAATATATATAGACCAAATATTAATTTATTTATAATATTACGTGGGGCCACATTAATTGGTCTAACATTAGATTTCTAGACTAGTGAATATAACTATTATATGATAAATATAGTACACTATGGTAGCCTTTAATCTGGGTAACTTTAATCGTAATTATCACTAGTTTGTCTGGTTTAGATTCAGAATAGTGTGAATGCATCTCTTTTCCTTCCATTGGAGATCATCGAACACTTGCTGGACTCTATATAGTTGCTAAATGGTTCTGGAATGCTATTTCTTGACTGGTTCTATTCATCAACCTATATGGTGACATTCACTTGTTAATGAAGCATAGATTCCAGTGCAACTGAATGCTTTAATGCTTGGGTTTGGTGTTGACTAGAATTAGCCTAAATTTCTTGTTGCACCAATCCTGATTTAATTCAAACAAGTGTCCCCCTCCCCCGCCCACCCCCACCAAAACGTTGTGTCTTAGTAGCTTGATTAGTTTTCTTCAGCTTTTAGTTTTTATGGACGCGATGTTAGTTGCTGTATTTGTATGCTTGTAGGAAGAAACTAAATGGCTGGCCATAGGATTGCTCATGCCACTTTGAAAGGACCAAGTGTAGTAAAGGAGATTGTTATTGGAATAGCACTTGGCATTGCTGCGGTTAGTGTATGGAAGATGCATCACTGGAATGAACAAAGAAAAGTTAGGGCATTTTACGACTTGTTGGATACGGGTGAGATTACAGTGGTTGCTGCAGAATAATAAGTTTTTGTAGCTTTTCTGTCGTTTGGTATTTTGAACCTTGCCAATTGGCTCTTGAATCAGACATGGGCTCCTTTACTTTGGATTTCCAAGAATAATTATTTGAGTTTTGAAGCTTTACCGGATACTGGTTTAGTTTGTCTTAATTTTGATTTGATTGAATAACTTGATATTGGATATTAATTTGTACCGTGATGAGTTGCTCATTTGCGAACACACTTCCTCTTTGCTTTTTCGTGAATATTTGACACTGCTGAATCCATATATAATATCACACACACTAAAATACCATCCAATTATGTATTCAGGATGAGCAGAAATCCAGAAGATCTTTCACAGTGATTTGGGCAACATGTAGGTATAGAATAACTTTTGATGTTAAATTCAACATTTACAATGTCTACTCGAAATCTTGTTGTCCATTCTTGTGCTTCTTTTGTTTATATCTATAGTAGAGCATGTTCAATACATTCCATGAATTGTAATTTAGGTGGCATGTAAATAGAAAAATTCTTGATTTACATGGCAGTAATGTTTAATGAATAGATTGCTAAATTCAAATTTCATGTCTAATTGGTTACATCTGTAATTTATATTTCATCTCTTAAGTATATTTAATTGGAGAGAGAGAGAGAGAGAGATTAAATTATGGTGGATCATGTCCAAGAGGTTTTTACATTCTTTTTGAAAATGTCTATATTTTTCCTTGTCCTATCTAGACATTGTTTTAAATATCCATTGTGTGTATTCTATAAAAATCCCGTGAGAGAAACTTCCGTACGCCAAGTAGAGTTATTTTGACAAAGCTATTGCCATTCCAAGTGGATGAATAGAGAGCTTCGCTTCTAAATTTGTTCAGAGGATGGATAATGATAAATTAGTTGGATAGAATTCAATCTCAAAAGCAATTTGTAAGATAAGGGTGCTTAGAATTTTAATTCACGGGAAATAACATTTCGATAATGTTATGAACGTCGAGTTTATTGTAAAATCATTAATTTTTAGGGATAAAAATATCAATTCACTTTATTTTAAACATTTTTCGGATTAGTTATTAAAATTCAATTTATTTGTTTATTTATTTTTTTGAATAATCAGTGTACTTATAATTTTGTTTTCCATCCGTTGCTTTGTTTTATTTTTATTGAAAATTGTGATGACAAATACTGAATCGTTATTTTATTAATGATTGGGAGCAAGTTAGGCTTTCAAAGTTTTAGGGCCTTAGACGATAAATTATCATGAAGTTCTATACAATTTTTTTACAAAGTGTATTAGCATCAATTATGATCGAATGAAACAATTTCTCAAAATGAGGAACATTATACTTATAGTACACACCGTTTATTTCGTTTGAAAATTAATTTTTATTTTCAAGAAATAGAATAAAGGATTTTAAAAAACCATTAAGGATGGAAGTGTTGACTACTTTTTATTGTCCAAAATATTCTATATTTAAAAATAAAAATTTCGAAAGCAACAATCAGAACATGAATTAAAAGCTAAAAGGCACAAAATCCTCTAATTATTGGGTCTGGAATACCCCCATGTCGTCCTGTTCCGTCAATCCTGCTTTTAAATCTCAATAAATAGAAAACAAATTCCAAATAAATAAATAACAAATATTCTTTCATTTAAATAAAACAAAAAGAAAATAAGTAAAAAAAATAGAAAACTAATTTCAATTATAGTCCTAAATTTTTTTCCAAGTAAATACAAACAAATCTCAAATAAATAAATTGAAAAAAAAAATGCACACTAACTACTCTACCACAGTACCATGTGTAAAATCAGTTATTTTGTGGCCTATGTAATATTAAAGAATTAATTAAAAATAGTTAATATTACTAAAATCCTTTTGACCCAATTGAGAAGTGGCAGTTTTATAACTGTCCACTTTGATGGAAAGTGGAGAGTTTTATGGCACATAAGAAACTGCCTTTCTCTGCCTATAAACGTGAATGAAACTCATCAATTAATTAATTCAATTATAGAGATGAAAAGTGAGAGAACAGTTTCTTTAATTTAACAAATTCTTATTTTGCAGATTTAAACTTTTCAATTATTACCATGGATCAAGGTATGCTTCTTGATCAATTAAATTCATATGTGAAAATCATGAATTCTAAAGATTTTGGCATTAGAGTTTAATTTCTTACATGTGGTATCAGAGCCAAGATATGAAATTCTTGATTTTCCTCTAAAGATATACTGTTTTTCGTATGGAATCTTTAATTTTGTTACTAATTTATGGATACTAATTTATGGATCAAGTCATTACATCAAATCCCATTTGCTATCTGCATCAAATTAATTGACATCGTGTTCAAATTAATTGACTTTTCTATGGATCTGAGAGAAAGAGTCAGCCCTTCAAAGTCCATTATTTCGACATATGTGTTCCTGTTTGTCATTATTGATCATTGAAAGTTTAATAATAATAATAATAATAATAATAATAATTAAAAAAGGGCATAATGCGTTGGAATGGAACCAGCTACTGATGAAATCCATTAATGATTGGCCATTAATTGTAAAAATAGGCCTAATCCATTAGCTTATCCACGGCTCCATGTGAGGTTGCTGAATTTACTCAAAAAATGTCCTGTGCATGTATATACAATTTTGCCTTTAATGCTATATCGAAAGTGATGCTGAATTTTGACTGTTTTTATTTTGGGTAATAGATATTTATTTTCAGATTTTAATTTAAATTATGGATTAAGTTGAATTATATCTAGTTTAACAACTTTCAGTGCCTTGTTTATTTATTGTCAATAATGAATATTGTGTGGTAATTATTTTACAAGCAATAATTGTTATGGAAAGTGATTTATTCAAAGGTTTTGATAAGTCATTTATATGAATGTTTTATTTATGTGATTAATGTTGTTTGTTAGTTACCAAAGTGGTCAAATATTATGGTATATCCAACACTAAATTAAATAATTTATTTGTCAATTACTCTTGATAGTTTGATGCTTATAAATGAAAATGACTTTATTATTGGTGTCAAGAGTATATTGACGTTCATAGATTATAAAATTATTACGGATCCCCCAAAGAATGATCAGTTAATTTTATTAATCTTGAACAAGATCATGGTTAATTGATTTACTTGGTCGGATGTGTTTTTTATATCCAAAGATATCATACATGTTTGATTAGAGTATATTTAATTACCAATTAAGTAAAAATTAAATTAGCATAATTATGTCTATTTATGATGTTATAACGTAGTATTACCCAAAAGAGAACTACGTTATACATTTATTGCTATCTGAATCTGAATTAAGTGTTTAAATATAAACTCAAAGCATTAATGTTGGAGTATTTTATATTTTGCAGTATCTGTTCCGGTTTCCCTATATTCGCATGCTTCATCTGTACCAGTATTCAATGGGCTCAATTTCTCTGACTGGTGTGAACAAATCCAGTTCAACATAGGTGTTTTGGACTTGGACTTGGACTTGGCACTTCAAGTTGAGAAACCTGCTAATGTTATTGATGAGAGTAGTGCTGATGAAAGATCCTTCCATAAGGCTTGGGAAAGGTCTAACAGATTAAGTCTAATGTTTATGTGGATGACTTTAGCAAAGAATATCAAATCTACTATCCCTAAAACTAAGATTGTTAAGGAATATATGAAGTTTGTGGTTGAATGTTCCCAAACAGCTGACAAATCACTTACTGGCACACTGATGTGTACCTTAATCACCATGAAATTTGTTGGTTCTCGTACTATGCATGAGCATGTTATTGAAATGAGTAACATTGCAGCAAGACTTAAGACTCTTGGGATGACCGTGGATGAAAACTTTCAGGTACAATTTATCATCAACTCCCTGCCTCCTGAGTATGGTCCATTCCATATGAACTATAATACCTTAAAAGTTAAATGAAATGTGAATGAATTGCACAGTATGATCGTGCAAGAGAAGATGATGCTTAAGAATCAAGAAACTCATTCAGTTCATTTCGTAAGTCATCAAGGAGTTGGAAAGAAATATAAGAAAACATCTGGAAAGGGCATTAAGCAAAGACCATTAAAGATAAATGAGTCTTCTGCCCAAATCCACAATAAGGAACACAAGAAAGATATGTGACATTCTATTGCAAACCAGGGCACCATAAAAAGGACTGCCTGAAACGTAAGGCATGGTTCGAAAGTAAAGATCAGATTATTTCTTATGTATGTTTCGAATCTAATTTGGCAGAAGTTCCTTATATTACTTGGTGGATTGATTTGGGATGTACCACTCATGTTACTAATACGATGCAATAATTTTTGTCAATCCAGATCATAAATCTAAATGAAAAGCTTGTCCTCATGGGAAATCGAGTCAAAGCTTCAGTTGAAGCCATTGGAACCTATCGTTTGATCTTGGATACTGGACATCATTTAGATTTATTTCAAACACTTTACGTACCTTTTATTTCTTGCAATTTAGTTTCTTTATCGAAACTTGATTCTGTTGATATTTCTTTGATGGTGGAAATTGATGTATAAATTTGTTTAAACAAAATCATCTTATCGGTTCTCCCATTCTTTGTGATGGTTTATATAAATTAAAGCTTGATAACCTCTTTGTCGAGACTCTTTTGACCTTGCATCATAATGTTGGTATTAAACGTGGTTTACCGAATGAACAATCTGCTAACTTGTGGCATAAACGTTTGGGTCACATATCCAAGGAAATGATAGAAAGATTAGTAAAGAATGAAATCCTTCCTAACTTGGATTTTAGAGATCTTGGAACTTGTGTGTATTGTATTAAGGGTAAACAAACCAAACGGAACCACAAGAAGCACACAGCTTCTTGAAATAATACACACCGATATATGTGGGCCTCTTGATGTTCCATCCTTTGGTGGAGAAAAGTATTTTAACACCTTTATCGATGATTTTTTACGTTATGGTTTAAGTCTATCTGCCACATGAAAAGTCTCAAACTGTAAATACTTTAGAGATCTTTGTCCATGAAGTTGAATGGTGATTAGACAGAAAGGTGAAAATTATTAGATCTGATAGAGATGGTGAATATTATAGAAAGTATAATGAAACTAGGCAACACCCTGGTCCATTTGCTAGATTTCTTGAAAGAAATGACATATGTTCTCAATACACTATGCTAGGCACGCCACAACAAAATGGTGCGACTGAAAGACGTAATCGTACTCTAATAGAAATGGTTAGGTATATGTTAAGCAATTCGTCTTTATCCATTTCTTTATGGATATTTGCATTAAAGACTGCTATGTATCTGCAAGACAGGGTTCCTAGTAAGGCAGTTTCAAAGACTCATTTTGAACTGTGGACGAGAAGGAAACCCAGTTTAAGGCACCTGCATGTTTAGGGTTGCCCGACAGAAGCAAAAATTTATAATCCACATGAAAAGAAACTGGACTCAAGAATAGTCAGTAGATTTTTCATTGGTTATCCAAAAAATCAAAAGGGTATAGATTTTATTGTCTTAACCATAGTACTAGAATTGTTTAAACTGAAAATGCTAGGGTCATTGAGAATGGTGAAGGTATTGGGAGTTTGGAACCATGAAATGTGGAAATACAAAAAGTTAGAGTTCAAGTTTCTCTACCATCAACTTCTTCTAATGTTGTTATTCCTTAAATTATTGAACGGCATGGCAATTTACCCGAACAACAAATAAATGATCAAACACCCCACATTGAAGTTGCCACTGATGAACCTGCATTAAATGAACCACAATAAATAGCACTAAGAAGGTCACAAAGACAACGTAGACATGCTATTTCTGATGATTATGCGGTTTACCTACAAGAGTCTAAATTTGACTTGGGAATTGTCAATGATGATCCAGTTTCATTTTCACAGGTCATTGAGAGCGCTAATTCTGATAAGTGGTTAGACACTATGAAAGATGAGTTGAAATCTATGAAACATAATGAAGTCTGGGATCTCATCGAATTACTAGAATCATGTAAAAGAGTTGGGTATAAATGGGTCTTTAAGACCAAGTGCGACTCTAATGGTAATATCGAACGATATAGAACTAGACTTGTTGCCAAAGATTTTACTTAGAAAAGTGACATTTTCGCTAGTCTCTAAGAAAGACTTGCTCAAAATTATAATGGCTCTAGTAGCTCATTATGACTTAGAATTACATCAAATGGATTTGAAAACTGCCTTTCTAAATGGAAATTTAGATGAAGAAGTTTATATGGATCAGCTTAAAGATTTTCCAGTTGAAGGAAATGAACACATGGTGTGTAAGTTAAAGAAATAAATATACGAACTTAAACAGACTTCCCGTCAATGGTATCTTAAGTTCAACGATACCATTACTTCCTTTGGATTTAAGGAAAATGTCATTGATCGATGTATATATCTAAAGGTTAGTGAGAGAAAGTTTATATTTCTAATTTTGTATGTTGATGACATCTTGCTAGCTACTAATGATCTTGGTCTATTACATGAGACTAAGAAATTTCCCTCCAAACATTTTAAAATGAAAGATATGGGAGAGGCAACCTATGTGATTGGAATTGAAATATTTCGTGATAGGTCATAAGGATTTTTGGATTGTCTCAGAAAGCATATATCAATAAAGTTTTAGAGAGATTTAAGATGGAAAATTGTTCAGCGAGTGTCGTTCCAATTCAGAAAGGAGACAAGTTTACTTTCATGTAATATTTTTAAAAACGAATTGGAAAGCAAACAAATGACAACTATTCCTTATGCATCTCTTGTTGGGAGTTTAATGTATGCTCAGACTTGCACCAGGCTAGACATCAGTTTTGCTATCGGAATGTTGGGTAAGTATCAAAGTAACTCGAGAATTGATCATTAGAAAGCTGCAAAAAAAAAGTATTAAGATACTTGCAAGGAACGAAAGATCACATGCTTACTTATAGGAGATCTGATAACTTTTAGGTCGTTGGATATTTGGATTCGAGCTTTACTGGATGTGTGGCTACTAGAAAGTCCACATTTGGCTATCTGTTACTCTTGGCTGGAGGGACTATATCATGAAAAAATGAGAAACAGTCGGTCATTGTTGCATCCACTATGGAAGCTGAGTTTTTGGCATGCTTTGAGGCCACAATTCATGAAAATTGGCTGCAGAACTTTATTTCAGAGCTTGGAATTGTCGATAGTATTGCCAAGCCCCTGAAACTTTATTGTGACAATTCTGCAACGTTCTTCTTTTCAAAGAACGACAAGTACTCTAAAGGTGCTAAACACATGAAATTGAAGTACTTTGCCGTTAAAGAAGAAATTCAAAAACAAAGGATGTCAATTGGGCATATTAGCACATTCTTATGATTACAGATCCATTAACGAAAGGATTGCCACCAAAGACATTTAGCCCTTGTTTGAGCCCCATTTTTGGGGAGAAAATGAATTTTTGAATAGTGTATTGATGGGAAATGTGTGGTTAAAAAATAATTAAAAGTTTTAAATTTACATGTAATATTATTTTATTGAAAAACATGTGGTTGAAATGATGTCAAAATATTGTTTAAGAATTTATTTTTTCGGAAAGAATGTGATTCAAACAAGGGCTTAATGAAAATGTCGAAAGGATGGGCTTATTGAAAATTATCATTTGACATTATTATGTAATTTATGATGCTTATGTATTGACACTTTGAGCTCATTTATGTATTATTTTTGACAAAATATTATTCCTATCATAACTGTTGGTATATGTACGTGAATGGATTATGTGAATGCTGATAGGGATAATCTTTTCGAAGACATTATTGTAATGCAATTATCGAACTTCTCATTATGTGTGATGTTGGATGGGACTAATACTATAGTATATGGAAGGAATTATGCTTATATGATGGTGTAAAATTGCCATGATTCTTATTAGTCTTTACTTAAAAATGATATATTAAGTGACCAATATATGATGGATTTTAGTTCATGATATACGCATTATGTTATATATCACATAATGAAACAATATATTACACGGGCCAAGTGAGAGAATGTAAAACCAAATATTTTGTGGCCCATGTAATATTAAAGAATTAGTTAAAAGTGGTTAATATTACAAAGTGGAAATTACATCCATACCTACTTTTCAAAATCGATATTCTAAAATCATAGGCAAGGTTTTACTGTTCAAAAATAAGATGTTTTTAATATTAAATATTATAATAAATATTTATTTCAACCCTAATTTATTTTCATTTCTCTCTCTCTCTCTCTGTCCATTCGTCCGCCGCCCCTCTCTCTTCCTCTTTCATTTTAAGACTTTGGCAGCCGGCGATGAAGCTGCTCCAGCCAACATCGCAAGCGCCCCGTCACTGGATAAGCCGCCGATGGCTCAACTGGTGTAGTGATGAGCGCAAAGGTGCTGCGGCGACGCCCATTTCCACTGCGTGCAGAGATCTCTACCTGTTCGGCCCATTGGTGATGTGGTGACGTCGCTGCTGAACTGCTGTTTGTCGTGAATTTGAGGAGGTCATGGTGGTTGTTGTTCACAAGGCGGTGGTAGTGATGAAGTGGCGGTGGTAGCAGCATCGAGTTTTGGGAATTTTTTGTGAATGTGGTGTGATTGAGATAATGCTTGTGATTTTTGTTGGTGCCATGGTTGGTGGTGGTGCTGTGCGATGGCGGTGTTGGGAAACGGGAGGTGTGGTGGTGGTGTTGTGCGGTGCGGTGGTGGGATTGGGAAACAGGAGGTTATGGTTTGGAGGTGGTGGTGCAGGGTGGGTGGAGGACAGGGTGCAGTGGTGATGAGTTTTTTCTCCAATTTGGGTGCGATTGTGATAGTTACCTTTGTGCTAGGTGGTGTTGGAGGTTTCTGATAGCTTTTGTTGGTGGCGTGGGCGGAGGTGATGCCTGTCGAGGTGGATTTGGCAATGGTGATCATGGTCGTGTCGGTGATTGTGGTTACAAGTGTTGGTCACAGATTATTTGGTTAACTGTGACCGTTAAATTGGTTAATCTATGAC